CCAGAGAACCAGCTCTGGGATCCTGCCTCCAACTGTGACCTAAAGTACACTATCAATCTCAGGGTTCTACTCAGGCCTAGATCTATACAGCCCCAACCTTCCCACCCAGGGCCCTTTCACAGCTAAGTCCAGCTCCTTCTTATCAGCTCAGAGGCCTGCCAGGGCCCCTGCCACAGCACCTCATTTGGTCTTCCTTCAGGACTCTGTCACTTGCAAGCTCAGTCCCACACAGCCAATCTCTGTGGTATTTGATAACTCCTGTTGGCCAGGCAGAAGCGCCTCCAGGCAGCTGATAATGGCACTACAGTCCAGGCCTACCCAAAAGTGCCAGGCCTGGTATGTCACCCCATTGGGGATCTGTCATCAGAGAGGTTGTCATTATTAACCCTTTGGGGATGTCACCCACCCAGCCCAGGAGAAAAGCCAAGCAAGGAAGTAACGGAGAGCAGGATGGGACTTGAAGACCTCTCAGTCCCACTGAAGGTGAACAACCCAGGAAGGAAAAAGCCAATGGTTCTCAACCTTCCTAAAGCTGTAACCCTTTAATACAGTACCTCATGTTGTGGTGACCCCCCCAACCATAAAATTATTTCAGTGCTCCTTCATTAACTATGATTTTGCTACTGTTATGAATTGTAATGTAAATAGCCGATATGCAGGGTGTCTGATATGTGACGCCAAGGGGTCACGACACACAGGTTGAGAACCGCTAAACTCCATTTAGATTATAAATGGAGTTCCCTGTAGAATGTGTTCCTTTTGCCCACTTTGGCCTCCTCGATTTCAAGGGACCTGGAGTAAGTACCTGCAGTTGCCTGGTCTCTGCCTGCCGTGGGAAGGCTGCAGGGAGAGGAGCTGAATTAGGATTTGTGCTGGGGGGAGAGGGGGGACTTTCCATCTGGCCTTCTGGGTACATTGACGACTGTCAACAGAAGCATGGCCTCTGCTGGGTGGAGGAAGGCATTGAGAACAGAGCATATTGTGCTGGACTCTATGAGTGAATTCTTGGAATTCCCCCCTCTGGTGAGAGGCCAAAGTCAGGCCACTGCCCTGACCTCTGTTTCCTGGGTCCTGAGACTGTGCTATCAACAGAACATTCTGGGAAGAGCAAGTGCTAGTGATTAACGCCAGGCATCTTTTCCTTCAGGAAACATGTTACATGCCCCGCACTTAAGCTGTGTCGGTCGTGACTGCATGCAAGTTTGCAAGTTGTCCCTTGTTTAAGGCCACGTCTTCATATACTTCTTAATATGACAAATTCCCATCATAAATACCTCTGTATTTTAGCAAAAGGAACTTTAGCCACACAGTATTAAGATTGACACACACACACCCTATAAAGTTCAGTTCATTTTCATCTTTTCCCTCTCTGAATAATATGGCTGCTAAAAAATGTTGCATTATCATCCACCAAAGCTGAGGTGTCATAGAGGGCTTCAACAATGGTCCTTTGTCTCCACATGCAAATTCTGCCACATCCCTGTCTCCCTCACTCAGATGTTTCCATCTTCATAGACATGTTCCATGCTGCCCCTAACAGAGTCGACAGGGATGGCTGGAAGAAGAAATGTATATGGTGCCGTCCTGTGTGTTTCTTCTGTTCCCTTCTGCCTGGAACATGGGACAAGAGCCTGTGATGGGTCATGTGCAGATTAAATGGCATGGGGTTCCCTTAGGTGGCCCTCCTGTGGCAATCCAGAAGGACCCTCAGAGAAGGCTTTGGGCCCAATCCTTCCCGGCTAGACTCCATGTAGGAAAAGGAGATGGGGTTTACCCTATGCAGTGCTCTTGGAGATAGGTTTCATGCACTGAAGTTTCCAGATTCTTCCTTAATCATGTCAAAATTCTCTAAGGCCAATGCTCCGACTTCCCCCAAGGAATCTCAGAGTCTGGGCTTGCTCCCTAGTACACTGGAGCTGCAGATGTGGCCTGCCCCTTAGCATCCCTTGCTGGCATTAAAGCCAACTGAGCAGGCATCCTTCTCAAGCCTGCTCAGGCCAGGCTGCTCTTCTTGCTGCTGGTCTGGCTTTAGAGTAGATTATTTCGTGCCTGAATCCTGGTTATGAGCTATGTAGCCTTGGGAGACCACCTTTACTCCTGTGTGAAAAGCCTTGGAAGACCACCTTCACGTCTGTGTGAGATCCATCATCCTGTGCGAGATCCATCACTAGTCAATAGTTTGTATAGCTGCAGCTGAGCTGGGAGGGTGAACGGAGTTAGATTGAATGTGCCAAGGCCCTCACACTGAGTACTGGGAATCCGAGATGTGTCTTCTGGAAACAGGGGGGTGTCCACCTTGGTTCCCCACCCATGCACTTGCCTCTTCTGGCTTCTTATTACTTTGTCCTTTTTTACTCCCATTGAAGTCTTAAACTTTTATTTTAACCATACTGGGGAAATCTTTTGGGAAAAGGACCACTTTTAAGAGGGGACTACTCCCCTCTTCCTCAGTATATTGTATATAGGTTATGTCTTCTGTAGGACCCAGATGCTAAGCATCCCATGGTACCCTACTTACCAAACTAGGAGAAGGATCACTTATTTCCCCATTTCTTGAGAGGAAACAAGCTCAAATAGTTTTAGCAAATTGCTCAGGGACACACAGATGATAAATAACAGAGGCTGGACATAAAGGCTATTCGGAAGCCCAAAGCCCACACTCTTAACTGGCCCATTGCCTTACTAGAAGCATTTGTTAGACTGTGATGTGGATTCTCTGGAGCCTGGAGAGATAGTTAGACCATTGGCCCCTGAACCAAATGGCCAAGGCTGGTTTTGCTTGCTGAACCATACACCTGCTCTTCACAGGCTTTCTACATTCTTTTTCCTCATCCTTTAAACTTGCTGTGGTCATTGTTCTTATCTCAATCAACAGCTTCTCAAAGTTTCTCCAGACCGGCTTGCTAGAGTTTTACACAAAGATGCCTCCCAGACCATAAGTAGTTAGACTGAGGCTTTCCTGTGGACATTGAGCTTCCGCACTGTGATGTGATAACTCCGGCGCATTGGCTGATGGCTTCTGGACTTTTGGGTATGTTTAGAATAAACAAAAGAGGAGCCGGGCATTGGTGGCACACGCCTTCAATCCCAGCACTCGGGAGGCAGAGCCAGGCAGATCTCTGTGAGTTCGAGGCCAGCCTGGGCTACCAAGTGAGCTCCAGGAAAGGTGCAAAGCTAC